GAGAGAGAGAGAGAGAGAGAGAGAGAGAGAGAGAGAGAGAGAGAGAGAGAGAGAGAGAGAGAGAGAGAGAGAGAGAGAGTAAACACAGAATTTGTCCAGTCCTCGTGAAGGTGGATGAGGCCTGAGGGGTTCCGTCCCATGAGATGGCATCCTACGGAGCCTTGCTCGAAGCGCTGTTGAAGGATCAAAGAGTAGTCCGCGGCATGCTGTTTTCCTCTTACGAGTGATAGACTGACATTGAATATGACAGCCATCTCTTTCCGTTAACCAGAGCTTACATATATGTGACCAAGGCTCGTGAAGCTGATACTCAGTATTTGGTCAACTAGCTGCAACGGTGTTATGGTCTTGTCTACAAGTACTGAGTGATCTATGCTGACTTGCCCGAGGATTAAAACATGCAGAGCCAATAAATGCTTAACCGGAAAGGACAGACCGACCAGCACAGGAGGGAATCTACCGTCATCCTTCGACGTAACGACTTCCAAGATACTAATCCAGACACAACCACCATGCTTTGCGTTCTGTGGATGTGAACATGCATACTGTCGAAGAATGCGCTTTGAATTTCCCAAGTGCAACATGTACTAGTTAGGGCATAGCCCCACTCCGAGTCTTCGCACTGCATTTGGTATTTGCCCCTTCTAATCACGGGGAGAGGCTTGAGAACAGACAGGCAGGAGGCGCAGAAGGTCACTGCATGCATGAACTCTATAGAATCTAGATGGACTACTACACAGAACTGGAACAACGCCCCTCGTTGCCAGTAGGCACTGCTCCAAAGCTACTATCAAAAGAGTGAGTGATGCCCCGCATATTGTTCAGGACGTCCCTATGAGTCAGCCATCAGAATAACATGATGGATGCAGGGTGATGTTTCTGAAGTGTAAAAGAAGTCCTACGGCTCGAGAACTGCAAGAAACACATGAAATTACTACAGAGACCTGTACATCCAACAACCACCTCAGAGGGCAGGAAATCACCATGTCTTCCATACAACAAAAATAAAAAGAAACACCTACCCAAGCTAGAGCGAAATCCAGCGGCCTAGCTCAGTTGGTTAGGCATGCAAGTGGCATTCAGGAGGTTGTCGGTTGAAGCCCATGGCCGCCTGCGGGGCACTTAGTGCCAACGGACTGTGATAGTCCTCTGGATACCCCTGATGGGTATTAGCGGGGTCTATGACCAACACGGGTGTGAGTGTGAGCGCGAGTGGGTTGTGTGTGGTGTGTGGGAGAGTGTTGGCCATAGCCTTTGCTGCTACTCGGGATACCCCTGATCGGTATTAGCGGGGTCTATGACCAACACGGGTGTGAGTGTGAGCGCGAGTGGGTTGTGTGTGGTGTGTGGGAGAGTGTTGGCCATAGCCTCTGCTGCTACTCGATGAAGGGTGGGGGACGATGAGAAAGGGAGGCACAGCTACTGGCGGGTCTCGGTCTTTGTGTTAGCCAGACCCCCACTGGCGGCCCCAACCCTATACCCTAACCATTAGGGGCAAGGGGCAACATGAAATCTCCCCTTCACAGAGAGAGGGAAACTATGCTTGCAGGCGTCCCCTCTAGATAGTCTTAGGAGTAGGTAGTGGAAGGTAAACAATCTTAATGCTGTCTCTTATACACATCTAGATGTGTATAAGAGACAGGTGCATATTAGCTAGGTAAAGTGCACGACCAACTTCCGAAATTAAAAGTAAAAAAGTTATAGGGCGAATTGCACAAATAAAATAATACCCCTTCCGAGAAGTATCTTCATGCAACCGGTATTTCGGCAATTTTCCCCAGCTCTAATACTTCTCGGAAAGAAAAGGTACAGGCCAAATTGCAGAAATACCCCTTCTGGGAGGTATCCTCATGGAACGGGTATTTCTGTAATTTGCCCCAGCTGTCTTTCTTCTCGCCGTTCTCGGAAAGAAAAGGTACAGGCCAAATTGCAGAAATACCCCTTCGGGGAAGTATCCTCATGGAACCGGTATTTCTGCAATTTGCCCAAGCTATCATACTTCTCGCCGTTCTCGGAAGAAAAGTTATAGGGCGAATTGCAGAAATACCCCTTCGGGGACGTATCCTCATGGAACCGGTATTTCTGCAATTTGCCCCAGCCAAGTATCTTCATGGAACTGGTATTTCGGCTATCATACATCTAGGAACCGGTATTTGTGCAATTTGCCCAAAGCGATACATCCGCCCCCGCCCGCCCCCGCCCCTCCCCCCTTCCGCCCCAAAACGTCCGTACTCATCTTCCCAATTAAAAGGGTGCAAGCAGCCGTAAGCTAGCTCCACATGCCCACACAATGGAATGGGCGTCCTTCCTCCTATGACACCTGGATAAACCCGTGACGAGAGAGAGAGAGATCTTCTCAAAATGGTGCAAAGCTAAAGTGAAGAGAGAGAGAGATCTTCTCAAAATGCCACAGCAGTACGAGGAAATGTTCATTAAACCAAACAATAAAAAATAAAAAACATAAGAGATAAAAAGCCGTGATTGACAGTGCAAAAGAAAAAAGCTATTGTCAAGAGAGAGATCCTGTCAAAGCGGCACAGCAGTACGAGAAAAAAAGTTCTATTCTTTTTTTTTCATTTTTGGAGAGGTACGACTATTCTTTGTTTTTTTTTCTATAATATGGTAGTGAGTCTAGTGGACAACTAACGAAAGAGAAGGGAGAAAAGGGAGGAAGAAATAGTCCTATGCGAAACTCTCCCTAAAAGCAATGCCATCCTGTACGGTGAGAGTCCGATCATGGTAGAAGATGATTGTGTGGTCCTCGCTGCTAAGCCAAGGCCTACCGAAGATCATCATGTTGCAAGTCAGTATACAAAAAAAAAACTCGAAGAAACAAGTATGTCTGGTCTGTGCAGTCTCTTGCGCTCCGCAGGAGAGGCTTACTTGCTTGCTTGCTTGCTGATCGAGCAGTTAAGGGCGGCCGAATGTGTTGTAGGTTTCCACCATGGCACAGTCTTTCTCCTTCCCACCGTCGTTGTAGTTGGTGCCATCCCAATACTGCGCGGTCTTAATGAGAACCTTGATGCAAGTGCCAAGGTAGTCGCTTTCAGTGCCAACGTTGAATTCTCGGGACCAGACCTTGTTGCCGTTCATGTACAGCCGGTGATTGCACTTGTTCTTGTCAAAGGATTTCGAGCCCTTTGGTGATTCCAGAGCGCAGCCATCGGTGTTTGCCGTCCTCAGTTCTTTCGTCTCACTCCTACACAAGTAACGCGGGGCACACGACACGGAACAGCACAAAATATCACTCATACCACTCATATTAACCCTATCACCCATCAGACTCATCAGCAGAGAGTTGGCATAGATAGACCTTTTGAGACATACTTTGCATTCTATCATGGCATGGAGTCCATGGGGACCAGCTCGAAGTCAGTCGAACAAATTGAACTGATACACTGATAGGACTGAGTGAGTAACGTATAATCGAAATCATATAATTGAATTGAATTGAATTGAATTGATACAGTTGAGTCAACAGCTGAGCAGCAGAGACAAACTCAGACAAGATAGCAAGCCATATGATAACACATAAGGGGGGAAGAACAAAAGAAAAGAAAAAAGAAAGGGACGAGGAACGAAAGAAAGGAAACAAAGAAGGGGAAGAAGAGGAAAAAGAGTAGAGAAGGAACAGATCAGTTTTTTTGAAGAAGCAGCCGATTTTTCTCCATGGCTACAGAGTACATACCCCACGTTTTCACATTGCCAGGTTCTAGATTCGCTGCGCAGACAGATCTCATTCAGACAGCTCCATTCCCACAACACAGTGCCCTGTTCACGCCCACAGCCAAAGTGCTGGCAGAAGCTGTGTGTCTTCAGTAGACGGGTGTGATTGAGAGAGAAAGACAGAGAGAGACAGAGAATCATGCAAACAGTGACATAGAGTCATTGACATCGACAGCGACACAGACAAGGCCAGAGAGACACCTACTTATATCTCGAGCAATCGCTATAAAATGTTTCCTTCAGTGTCCGTTACATCAGCAGTTCTGATGGCCCACTACGCTAACATGGGTATTTATGTGTATGCCAGATGTGAGATGTCTGCGCCTGCACACATCTGTGAGCATCCCTGTTGGGGAGAGAGAGAGAGAGAGAGAGAGAGACACAGAGAGAGAGAGAGAGAGAGAGAGAGAGAGAGAGAGAGAGAGAGAGAGA